AACAATTAAATAGAAACCTTAGAAAAGAAAAAGAATTGAGTTCTCTTTTGAAGTCAAACACATTAACCCAAGGATTCTCAAACTAACAGATACATCAAAGTTGTAAAAGATGCTTCTTTTTCTTTAAATTATATTTCTCTTTCTTTCCCATCATGACATATTTATTTTGTTGAAAAATGGCAATATAAGTCAAAGAACAGGTAAAGGAATAGTAGTGCTTAGGAATTTGGATTGGCCCAGAGTCAACTGAGGACAATGTGAAGGTCACCTGACATAGTTTCTACTCTGCATAGATCAAATAGATTAGTACAATGGTCAGTAGAAGACTTATAGCCAGGGCCTATCTCTCATCTGGAATTAGACTGAGATCACCATCTTTAAAGGCTGAAGAGGAAGTGAGAATTTTTAAGGGACATGATTATGACAATGAATAGTAATTAGGCCAGAGAACACTTTATCAACTAGCTGAGTGATCAGAAGAATCTAAGGAGTTCAGGCTTTCCCCTCTGGAGTCAACAACTTTCTTCCGGTATCACTCAAAATGGCTAGGGAGCCTTGTGTAGGGCTTATCAAGTCTTAACTAGACAAAATGTTGAGAGCCTGCTAAGCATTACGAAACGCTTATTCATCCCTTCTATATTTTTCGCATTTTCCCCTCCCTTTCAGGGCTTCAAACCAGTTCTTCGTGGTTCAGTCATAGCCAACAACGCAAAACTGGAAAGACCTGAATTTATAAACGGTGGTTGTACTGGAATATCAAGAAAGGGAAACGCTGGTCGATGCCAGGTTAGAACTGTCATCTTCTTCATATAAAACAAGGGCAGTATGCACACTGCACAGCAACCAAATGGTTGGACGGGCCGAGTCGGAATCTCTGGATCAGGGTCCTGAAAGGGCCCACCAGGCCACTTCCAAGTTGCCCATTCCAGGGTTCTGATTTCTCACCTTTTCTGTTCTGGCTATTGTTCCATTACTCCAACCTTTGACACATTTTGGTCTGCTCTGACTTCACTGGGCTGGACAAAACTGAACTGTTTGAAGACCCGGTTTTTAGCTCAGTAATGCTTTGTCACATCTATTTCTTCTAAACTTTAATCTACTATCTTCTGCTTATTATTTCACTTTTCAGAGAATGCTGCAAATTCCTGCCCTACATACTAAGATGTAGTACATAGCACCGGTACAGACTTTGGACATGTTATCAAGAGAGACCAATCCCCGGAGAAGGATGTTTGGGAAAGAAACAGGGCAGCGACAAAGAGGAAGGCTCGCCACAAGACACACTGATGCCGTGGCTGCACGCGGGGGCACCCACAGAAGAGCAGTTGTGAGGAAGGTGTGAGGAGGGGTGGTGTTCTGCTCTGTGTGCACAGGCTGGCTGTGAGTCGGAACCGACTCGGCGGCGGCACCTAACGGCACAACACACTAAGATATTGGATGCTCTCTCTACTTGCACCTTTAGAAACCCTTTCCAAGGAGGGCGGTGTTACATGGGATCCTTTTTAGCTCACCACACGGACTACTGATGGAACAGATGATTTCTGTGCCCCCATTAAACATAGTGGCCATGGTTAATAGGCTTAGCATGGCTGGTAACTAAATTACATTCGTGATTTATTTTAGTGGACCCGAGTAAGACATGTTCAAATGAGTAAGGTGAATCTGATCTAGTTTTAAGAA